TTGGAAATTATAAAAATGTCTAATCTTTATACTTTTTTAATGATTTAAAAATGTTTTTAAGTAGTCGGGTTAAATTAAAAAAAAAATAAGTAAAAAGCAGTATATGTGTTTCTAGAACTTGGAACTATATTGTGGCAACTTTTTAACATAATAGTGTAGAATATTTATTTAAAGTTTGACATATAAAATCAACGTGGAAAATGTATATAGTTGACCCAAAAGGAACTGATGTGTAGTTTCCACTAATGATTGATCTATTAGTTGAGTTGTTTATATATCAAATGAAGACATAAACCTGGATATTGTAGTAAACATACATTTTTTATTACAATCTTGATCTTCAATGTATTTGGTCAACCTATGATTTTGATTAATATTTGAATATAATGTTACTACGCAACTTGATTACTTAAAACGATGTTAAAACATGCAGAATTACTGAATGCTAAAAATATTGTGTGTCCACTATGTATAGATAAATATCTACATAGATTAGACCAATCCTTATACAGGGTGATTCAGAACTTACCCAAAAAAAATTCTGGATGTACAGGGGACCCTTACAAATACAATTTTGTAAAGAAAAAATCAAAAAGGTCAGTTCGAAATTGATTTAAAAATACACTTCTGCACGGCACTGGAAACTGGTCCACTGTAAAACCTGACCTCGCACAATGCGATCGGTATGGCGGCGTGATAAAAACGGACAAAAACTTTCGCAATGAAAGAAATATGTAAATAGAATTTTATCGCACCTATTTTATATCGGCAAATTCAAATGCTCTTGCCTTTATTAATTATTAATAAAATTAATTTGTGTTTGTAAATAATAAAATCATTTGACATACCCGATGCTGAAACAGCAATTGTTCAAAATTTTATCCACTGTGTAAACACATTTGGGTCCGTCTTACTCACTTTCTACGAACTAACACAAATGATGTCTTGTTTCACCATAACACAAACGCTTCACCATAAATTAAAACGATATCCATCTACTCCGAGTACACGCAAACCATTTTTGACACTAACTACCCATTTTTGACACCAACTACTAAAAACGTATTATAAAAACCACAGATAACAGGTAAATATCGCAACGACGATTGCAAAATCCGAATTCAGTATTCGGAGTCGATGAGGCCACGTCGCGAATGAAGCTAGAGACTACAGTTGTCCAGCTATATAGTGGTTTAATGTGCTATAACTTCAATAATTTTTTTCTCAGAAACTATAAGGATTTTACAAATTTTTTTTTACAATATTGACTCCATTTCTCATGCCGCATCTATTCCCAATTTTTTTTGGATAAGTTGTGAATCACCCTGTATAACAGTAAATTATTTCTGTAATTAGATCATAGAAATAACACTTCATTTGTGCTTCAATTGGATATTGCTTTATATTGATTTGAATTCATTGTTGAATATGTTATTTTTTTATAGAGACGTTGTTTTCTATATCAACTGTTTTGCTTCTTCGAAAATGGGTTTTAAATGAAATTTTTGAAAAAAGTCTTAAACTGGTTTAACAATGTAACTGGGCTCGGCCTTGCTTATTCGTCATGAGTAGTCTACAGTCACATCGTCTCAACAGAATTGTATAGTCTGCCTATAACTCGAGAATAGTCCATCTTTCAAATTATTCCAATCAACCCAGTAAGGACAAGCATCACTCCATCGCCCTCCGAAATGAACCATGATATGTAGAAGATAGAAATGGACAGCTGAGCGACAAAGGAGGGTAGAGAGAAATTTCAACAAACTTTCGAATTTTCGAGTTCTTCCAGCACTAAAAACAATTCGAGAATCATTCCATTTTACTAAAGGCAGTCTTCCACTTCCACAGACGACAGATGGAACAACGCAAACAAAGACGATACGGATGTTGAAATTTTCTCCTACCTTTCAAATATAGCCGTTGATGTCCCACACTGAGAATTTTACGGTACCAACGAGGGTGGTGTACGAACGTCTTCCCTGTCAATATTTATTAATTATGCCTCAGCTTATTGTAAAGTAGAGCTTTTATCCATAAGTACCTCTTAAATGTCTTGGTTATACAGGGTGTCCCATTAATATTGCGAAAAAATTCAGGGGGAGTTTCCTTGACCAAAAATAAGAAAGAAAGTTCCTATAAACCTATGTCCGAAAATGCTTCGTTTCGGAGATACAGGGTGTTGAAATTTAGAGAAAATACAAGGTTTTTACTAATATCTGGAGAACCCTAATTCCGATTTTTTTGAAATTTGGTATGTTTGTTTATAAAAACGGTAGACGTCTTCTGACGTAATTTGATTTATTTTATCTATTCCAGCGGCGTCCGGGGACTCACTCCTGTTGATATTAATAAGTAAACATATGAGACGTCACTGCTTTTTCTTAGGTGTCATATTTTTTTCTAATTATGCGATTAAAAATACAACTTTTTTGTCTCTTTACTTTTTTTGATATCTTGCTTCGTTTTCGAGCAAAAAATTAATATCCTTTCATATGCACATTCTTAAGGGAAGTAGAAAACAAAAATAGAAATTCAATGTTTTAGTTATTTACTAATCAACTTTAACAATACATTTGAAGGAAAAACAATGTAACAAGCTGAGAAACAATAACTCACTAAATAATATTTTTTTAAATAATTAATATTAACAGAAACATAAGAAAAAATATTTAACAAACAGCAATGATATGAAAAATACTTTACATACACAGGCGTTACAACAGTTGTTGAAAATGTGCACCTTCAACTCTAATACAGGCATCTATCCTACGACACATTGATTGGCGAACCCGTTCAAATATTCCGGCTGTGTGTCTAATTGTTTCACAGGATGCGACAATGCGGTTTCTTAATTCGTCTATGGTTTGCACTGGAGTCGTATAAACCAAATGTTTGAGGTGACCCCAAAGGAAAAAATCCAACGAATTTAAGTCGGGAGACCTCGGGGGCCAGGGTTGAGTGCCTCCTCGACCTATCCAGCGATTTGGGTAGATATTGTTCAAATATTCACGTGCAGCTAAACTGAAATGGGGTGGAGCACCATCGTGCATAAAATACATTTGCAACCTTAATGGCAATGGGATGTCTTCCAAAAGTACGGGCAATTCATCCTCAAGAAAACGGCGATAAACATCTCCAGTAAGCCTCGGTGGTAAAAAAAATGGGCCTATTAAGTGGTCTCCCACAATTCCGACCCATACATTAAGTGAAAACTGGTGTTGATGACGGCCTTCTAATATTGCATTTGGGTTCTCGTCCGCCCATACATGATTATTATGGAAGTTCATTATGGCTTTTCTAGAAAAATTCGCCTCATCCGTGAATAGTACTTCTGCTAAAAATTGAGGATTTTCCCCAATTTTTTGTCGTATCCATCGACATAAATCTAATCTTAACGGAAAATCAGTCGGTAAAAGTGCCTGAACCCGTTGGATGTGATAAGGGTATAGAAGATTATTTTTTAAAATCCTGAAAATTGTAGAACGACTTGCATTTAAGTTTCTAGCAATCTGTCTGGTACTTGTTGTTGGAGTGTCCTCAATTTCATGAAGTACATCTTCCTCCAATTGTAGGGTTATTGCTGTGCGGGGTCGCCCGTTTCCTGCGGTAAGTTTTCGAAAACTTCCAGTTTCACTAAGACGTTGATGAAGACGGGTGAAGATAGTATGATGAGGAATTATACGATTAGGGTATTTCTGCTCATAGAGGCGCCTGGCGGCTAATGCATTACCGTTGGCAAGGCCATAAAGAAAATGCATATCGCACATTTCACTATTTGTGTAATTCATTTTGACAAGCAGGAATTGACAACTACACAGTTCAAGTACTTATTAAAATCACACACTTAAGCTATTAATTTTTTGCTCGAAAACGAAGCAAGATATCAAAAAAAGTAAAGAGACAAAAAAGTTGTATTTTTTATCGCATAATTAGAAAAACATATGACACCTAAGAAAAAGCAGTGACGTCTCATATGTTTACTTATTAATATCAACAGGAGTGAGTCCCCGGACGCCGCTGGAATAGATAAAATAAATCAAATTACGTCAGAAGACGTCTACCGTTTTTATAAACAAACATACCAAATTTCAAAAAAATCGGAATTAGGGTTCTCCAGATATTAGTAAAAACCTTGTATTTTCTCTAAATTTCAACACCCTGTATCTCCGAAACGAAGAATTTTCGGACATAGGTTTATAGGAACTTTCTTTCTTATTTTTGGTCAAGGAAACTCCCCCTGAACTTTTTCGCAATATTAATGGGGCACCCTGTATATCTTTCTGTATGTAATAGCAAATAAAAAGTATTTTTAATGAAATTACAAACTTTTGAACTTTTCGCCAGTTTCAGTTCTCAAACCTGCCTCCTGCTAAAGATATTATGCCTTAACTAGGCCTGAGGTTTAATAATAAAAAGACAAAGTGGTATTCTAAAATTCAAAACCAAAGTGAAAAAAAGACCTAAAGTGCAAATTGTGAAGTTAAGACCAAAAAAAAAGGAGGTAGAAAATGAATCATTAATAATTAAGTAGTATTTTTGGTAGAGCTTTTCATTATATGATAAATTAAAATTTTAATAATCAAAGCTGGTCGGTCATGTAGCCCGCAGAGTAGTTGTTTCCTGCAATATCGTCAGTTTAAAAATTGTTTTTCTAGTGGCGACAGAGCTTTTGCTGTAATAGTACCTGCGAAACAACAGATACATTTCTTTCTGCAAGTTTGAAGGCTTAGTCGTTGATTAGCAGTGACTCCTCATATATTTTCAATGTCCAATTAAAACAGCAAAAATAACAGATGCATACTGATGAGAAGTAATATAATCGAAACCGGCATATGTCTGGTGGGTTCAGATGACGAATGTTCCCAGCTATGTACTAGACATTGGTGTAATTCAATATTGGTAGTGTCATTCAGGCCGCAGAATATTTATTTCCCGCAATATCAGCAGTTTCAAAATAAAAAAAAATTTCGAAGGATTATATGAAAACTGTCTGTATTTACCTCTTAAGACTTCCAAGTTATCCCCCATCTGGAAGCTGATGGTAACGCCAGGGTTCACGTGAAAAAACACGACGTATTCATTGCTTTGCGATTGACTGGGCCCAGGGCCGTAATGGCCCCCTGGTATCTGCTGCTGGGGCTCGAAGCCAGGCCCGAAATAGAACTTGGCCGGGGAGGAGGCCCCGTTGGTGCCGCCGGTGGCGTCGGCAGTGTCGGAGGGGTAGGTGCAGTACTGGTGATAGTGGCTGAAGTGCTGGAATGGGGGGTGGAGGTGGTGGTGGTGCGGATGGGTATACGGACGTTGTTTCCTTGGCATGGAGGCAGAAGATGGGTTAGGCGTGACGGTCGAAGGTTGGGAAGTGGGTGCAGAATTCGGCTCTGCCATCACCGGTTCGTCTTTTACCTTCACCATAAGTTTTTATCACTGCGACACTTATCACCTGAAAACAAAAAAATGTCAAATTTTAACGATAAAGTCACAGAGTTTTCTATATCAAGAATAATTATATATTCGGGGTGTTTCTGAATTAACTGCGTTCCTTGAGAAGGGTGATAGGAGACACGAAAATGAGCAACTTTCTTATTAAGCAACTTATCTTGAATGCTTCTATTTTTGAGAAAATTAATTAAAAATATTAACCATAAATGTAAATCGACCCTGTGCATCTTGTGCATGTGCGTTGTGTGTTGCGGTATTACTTAGCCGGCGTATAAAATGTTATGTGTACTGATCAAGAACTAGCAGATATGGTGTTAATGTACGGCGAAAGTCAGTACAATTTAAATAATGAGACTTGTTGTTTCTATGCGGTCCGTTACCGTAACAGACGACAACCTAACAGTAGAATAGTGCAAAATGCAGTTCAAAGGATACCGGAAATGTCCACCTACATGTGAAGGTCGCAACATGTTTTCGAGAACGAAGAAAACATCATAAACCTTGTTGAGGAAGATCCGAGGCGTAGCACTCGCAACATTGGCCGAGAAGTGGATGTGTCCAAGTATGTGTCCAAGGTGCAAGGATATATGCAAGGTGCTTTTTATGAATGTTGTTTTACTAGAGACGGCATACTAAACTTTTGCAACATTCACTATTAGTGTGATGTAAATCCTCACACATAAATACGTTTCATGTAAGGAATTTATGTCGTATTTCGTCATTTTTTGTTTTTCAATCATTTTGTGTAAACAATCTTAGTTTGTAGAAGTTTGCAACTGTAAAGACAGATAGAGATAGACATGTAAAATACCAGTTTAAGATTTGTTAGTAGAATGACATGAGTTGCTGTTTTATTGCCCAGCGTATCGCATGTGCGATAAACAAAAAAGGTAATGAGCTATTCACTAACTTTATTTTATAAGTAAAGTTCAACATTTGCGTGCGAATTCTGTGGCGTCACTAAGAAATTTAAAAATAATTTCACTGTGTTAAATATATTCAAATAAACGTATCAGCATCTTATTTTGTTGCACGTGAAAGGTGATCTCTATCATTAAATTGAATTCTAAAGTGGTCTCCTTCAAATACGTAGGTATGTTTACCAGTGAAATTTGCAACATATTTTACTGTTTCTGCTGGTATAAGGAGATAATGCGCAAAAAATGCGTATTAAAACTTAAAATTTTATTCAAGCTAAACTATTTATTAAATATGTGTTAGTATAAATAAATACTATGTATTAAAAACACAGTTATTGCAACTTGTTAAATTAATAGTATACAGTAGTAGTCATAGTAGATGCTGATCTTAAACTAGTTGATTCATTTTCTTGTTGTACACCTAAACATACATGTTACCAGCATCTCCAAGTACTGATGATGAGATCCTGTTTCTTCTGTTCTATGGAATTTTCAACCGCCGTGGTTTCACTGTGAGGAAATCCGAAAATTAAGCAATTGTAAAACCATACGTATACGTATATTTTCTAACAAGATCCACCATATCCTTTTCCAAAATACTCCCAAATGTCACGAAAATTTTTTGTATAGTTAGTTTTTGTATTTGTTAATTAATTAAGAAAATGAAGCTTTCGTTTATAACATTTTCTACTAACTAATCTGTCAATTTCTGTCTCCACTTAATTCAATAATCATACTAATGTTTTATCTTGAGCTTTTGTCACAAACTGTGTTTTGTAATGTTTAGTAAAAATTTTAGATTTTTTAGGTCTGCGCTATTTCAAAATAAAATAAGATGTACAGGACGTACAGAGCAATACAAATAAGTTTGCATTTCTGCCTCAGGCAGAACTGTGCGAGATTAAGAAAGAACCCATTCAGAAGTAATTTGCGATAACGGTGTTTCTCTTGCCGTGTCCAGTGTGTATTTTTGGGCGGAGCTATCTCAGAAGCAAACTTATTTGTATCAGTCTGACAGAACGCTTCTAAACAATGAATAGCATACACAGAAAAAACTATTTTTTGAATAGATGAATAATAATTATTATTCATCTACACAAGTACAGTGTACAAGTACTTTGATTATAATCAAAGTACTTGTACACCGCTATTCTTAACTATTTAGTAAACGCAATTTCATATAGAATTCGCGATATTTCTGGTAAAAGAAAACCCACGAGACTCAGAACCTTTCTTTTCATCATACAGAGGAAAAACAAACTTTGACTGAAATATGAAATTATATTTTTTAAAATAACAAAAATGAATCGGACCTATGTTCATATAAGAAAAAATGTTTGATACTAATTTAGCTACCATCTGTCAAAGATTGTCATAGAGCTTGTAGAACCTCCTGTGTAACAATATATTTATATAATTTGATCCATTTTAATTAATACAGAATGTCACTATGTGACATACATATACACATTTTATTAGGAACTAACACAGACAGTGTTATTTATAGACAATATTTATTGACTAGGGCAGTTATGAAAGGTATGATGTCATGTCAATTTATTGGCTCCGAGTGAATGGATCCTGTTATTACCTTTGAAATTTGTAAAAGTTCAGATTTTGCATCACTGAATTGTTTACGGGGTGTACATAAAACATCACTGTCACATATGACGTATGTACGAAAATACATGTTTATATGTGACTTAATGTAATCAATTTACAAAATTTTTCACTTTTGCCTGTTTAATATTTGTTGAGATAGAACTCCAAGAACAGTTACGAAGAAACATAGTATGCACTGCAAGCTGCTACGGTGAACGTCACGCCGCCAATGTCTTTCTACCTCGGGATGCAGTTAGTTCCAAGAAAGTGACGCAGCGGTCTTTTTGGAATTCTATCTCAATAATTATCGGACGGACTGTATACTTACTAATGCCTGATTTTTACAAGCATGTAGAGGATTTTTTAATGGCAGGTAGAAAAAGAGACACTTTGTTCTGTAGTAAACAGTAAAAATGCTTGTTTAGGTAATCGTCAGTTCTACCTTTTTTTTTAATTGTTAGTGGACAAATGTTTTAAGTGAAGACATTTATTTTTTTGGATTGTTATTTTAACTGTGTTGCCAACCGTATTTTCACACTTCAATATATTTCCTCTTCAAGTATCCTCCCCAAATTTGGAAACACATGGATAAAAGTGTAAATGAATAATTTTGAAGAAGGAAAGTATTATGTCGGCTTTAGAGAATTATCTATTATTTATTATTATTATTTGGCAAGTCTTGCAAGACCTTTTTCGTACAACAGTTTATTTAAAAAGTTTTTAATTTATTTTGACATAATACCCATAAGATAAATAAGTTTTTTTGAAAGGTAATAGGTATTACTTAAGCATTATTTTTGTAAAAATTTCCACACCATATAAAAATTATTTTTATTACACGATATACACGAATTTATGCAGAGCCTTCATAAATGTTTACAAGCCACATGACCGCCGACCCAACATTGCGCGATTGGTTACGAAAATTCCCTAAATTTTGGCATCACTAATATTAATGACTTATTTGCAATGAATAATAACACATACCAACGTCTACTTTCGAGATAATGCAATATCTGATTGGTTGAATAGTATCTCGTGAAAAATTGCTCCAATTACAGCCGATGAAACCGAATGTTGCATTTTAATGAGATCTTGATCCTATTGTTTTCAAAGTTTTTAATTTTGCTGAAATTTAGTTGTCAACATGAAGAAAATAAAATTACTTTTCCAAACAAAATTACTGGTCACGTGGCTTGTAATCATTTATGAAGACTCTGTATATCATTCGTGCATAATTTTTTACTTAATTTAGTAAATCTTACATAATCAAAAATAATTATATGTTTCTTTTTATTCACGCTATAATTGGATAGATATTATCTGAAACATAGTGAAGAGGTTTTTAGCTATGTTCAGTCATTAAAAAAAGATTAATTTAAAATATGATGGTAAATTACAAGACATGCAAGTTTTTGTGTTAAAGTCATTTCTTCTGTGCAAATCTAATTAGTTCTTACATTTTTTTTCTATAAGAAATTAGCAATACATCTTGAGTCTAATGGTTTGAGAATTATGTTCCGATGATGCTACACTAATTGAACCCACATTTATATTTGAAATGAAATGTCTAGTTCGTGTATAATGTTTCAACCTATATTTCAAGCCACGCGTACCCTACTATTTGATTTACCTGTAAGATTGAAATATAGGGGAAACCAGTGTTGATTGTACCATTTTTTCTTAGGCTAATAAGTTTTATAAAGCACTACATAATATTTATGTGATTACTATTTCTGTTAATATATTTAATTATGTCACGTCAAAAAAATATATATAAGCAATGTAAAAAATCCAGTTTGTGGTACAGCTAATCCTATGGCTAGAATCAGTTGTAAGTCACTGGAGTAATTGTACCACGAAATAAACAGATGCTTTAATCTTCAGTTTTTATTTGTTACTGATATGTATTGTAGTATAACAACTCTAGGTTCGATAAAAAAATAAACGAAAACGTAGTTGTGGCCAAAAATTGTGATCGTCATAAGGAATACCTATGTTGTGTGTATCTATTTTTTTAATCGACCGGAAGGCGCTGGTTACTAATTTTTTTTTGAGGGGATGTTTGGTTTAATTTTATAAAACAAAAGCAGGGTAAATACGTACTTTATTATTTACGTACAACAGTCTTCAAATCAAACATGTGACAAATAGAAAGAACAACAAACACATTAACAACCATTTAACATAAAATGAGAGTGCCAGGCTCACCTAGAGCTCCTGCGGGGAAAGAGCATGGCAGAGAAACCCACGATCATTGCTCTTACCACCCAAATATAAATATAAAACAACCGCTAACCAAAGGCATACATTAAGAACCTTTGCTAATGATAATTAAAACTGGACTTATTTAATTTCTCACTAAATGTCATCTCACTCAAATTAGACATACACACTTCCAAGTAAAACTGAAGAGGTTAGAATAATAATAATAATAATAACAACAATAATAACAATAATAACAATAATAATAATAGGT